ACGTGTAGAAGATATATATATATATATATATATATATATATATATATATATATATCTCCAATGTTTATACCCCTTTTTTAAGAAAAAAGATATCACGAGAAGTTTGAAAAGTTCCTTGTTGCCTCGGGTAAAAATTAAAAACAATGAATATTAAAAATATCGCGTCGTCCTTCTTTTTAATACAGTTTGAAAGGAAAGAAAAAAAAGGGGGAGGGGGGGAAAAAAGGGAGAGAAGAAAAAAATCAAATTTCCTTCCCAACGACACGTTATTATACATCTTCGTTAACGGTCTGTGTACAAGCAATTTGCATTTCATTAAAATCTTCTCGCAAAATTATACAGTTTAAAGCAGTGAACGGGCGATTCGGTTTTTCGAAATTCAAAAAAAAAAAAAAAAGGAGAGAGAGAGAGAGAGAAGAAAACTTCGCCAACTTTTTGCATTAAAAATAAGAATTAACGGCCGTCTCGTTACAACCGGATCTAAATTAAATTTCTTCTGTTCTCAACTTCCGTTTAATCACCGATGCCATCCACCATATCAGAATGGGGGAGGGCATTCATCTAGCATGAATTTACCAATTTCTTATCTGCCCCTTCTCACCGGCAAACACCATCCGTTAGGGCCGTCAACGATCAGGAACAAAGAGGGCCGGCTCGTGACAAGAAAACTGCACGTTGGAGCAAGTTGGAAAAGATTTCGTTAACTACCGATAAGAGCGTTATCGTGTTAATTAATCTCACGGAGAGTGACGACGCGACGAAAAATCACTTTTATTCCCGATCCCTTTTATCTTGCCACGAAGCTCATCGATTCGAAACTTTATTATCCCTAGCACCAAGTCAAAGGCAAACTTTCATATTAATTTTTTATACAGTTGAATTTTAAAATATATATACGTTATAATATAAGTATCGGTGATCATTATCTCATTTTTATCACACACCCGACATTATCGACTCTAATTACCTGTAAATAATAAAACTCGATCGACATTTCTTTTATACGGCGAATTAACTTTTATACTATCGAAGATAATACCACAAATGTATTAATATGGTATCATATATATACAGATATATACGAGAAAGAAGAATATTTTGAAAAAAGAGGCGGGGGGGGGGGGGGAAAGAAAATTCGATTCGATCGTGTATTGTAATGAAGTAGTGAGTAAAAAAGAAAACAAGTGGGCGTTTTGAATTGTTATTTTTGATTTTTTAAATATACAGGGCATCTTTGGATGGAGTAATACCTCTTTTATGTACCATATCTCGCAAACTTATCTTACAAGTCCGTCGATGCTATTTTAGATTCCTCTGTTACGGCAACGTTATGCCTCCTGATGACTCGAATTAGGCGTGTAATGGTTTTACGAGCGCTCGTAAATAAGGGAAAGCAACGAGACGATGCTGAGAATCGAGTATAAAGGTGCGAGGAAATTGAACTATCTAGTTGCAAAGAATTTTTTACGTTAATAGGCTATTACGTCAATGTGAGGCGGTTTTGTAATTTATAACATTAATAAATGAGGGAGAGATACGTATCAAAATATGTTAATCTCAAAATATCCTCGTCATGGTGCCATTACGATTTCAGACATATTTTTGGTCCAAATATAGACGAATAATTTATTTATGCATATGCGTTACGATTTCTCATGTGCGAGGAAATGATATTTAAAGCGTATAAAGTATATCTTACGTGTCCGAAAATATAATGAATCTAAGATTGGATGTAGAAAAACTAGAATGGATGTAAAACACCTTAAAACGCGTATAATTAAAATATTAGACCGTAGAAGAATTTAAAACGAAAATGACTAGATAATAAGTTATACATTTACACGTATTAATTTCACGCTTTAACGCTTAGAAAACGCACTTAATGTTAATGTTCTTTGAACTATCTTTTTTTCTTTTTTTTTTTTTTTATTTTATTGAGAATCGAATTATCAGATACAATATTTTAATCGTTTAAAAAGAAGAAACTGTGTAAAAAATATAATATCCAATTACACGAAAAAAAGATCTTTTTTATTTTAATAAAAAATACGACGAATTTCTCTTCCATATTCAATAATAATATTTTTACAACATTCGTAATGTAATATTTAGATTAAAAAAAAAGTTGTAAATCTATCCAAAATTTAAAAGGTGTTCTATTTTTTCTTGTCCTTCTACAAAAATATAAAACTTAAATAAAATCCTATTTTTATAATTTGCTTATATAATAACTTTACGACATCAAATCGTACAGAAAAATTTCACACAATTTTTCCTCTTATTTTCACTCATGCAAAGCACTTGTTGATTATTCAGAGATACTTTATATGCATAAAAACACTGTATACACGTACGAATATTCAGATTCATGTTCCTTTTAAATTCCAGTAAATATATTAGCATTATTCATGATTAAATAGAAATAATGATTACCAGTAATACTGTGCATTATTTTCTGTCTGCATATATATATAAAATGCAACAATGTCCTGACTACGAATAAAGTATCAGAGTGTATACTAAACGGTTGTACACTAAACGTTTCCTATTTATTTAGCACCGGTTACTTACACGCTTTGCTACGCAGGTCCCAAATTTTTAGGGTACGATCGTAACTGCCAGTAACTACTTTTGAAGGCTCGCCAAGAAACTTCGCAGCCATCACCTTCCCGCAGTGGCCCGTTAGAGTGTGCTGAAACAGAAATGGAAATGTCGTTTTGGAACATTTACCAACACGTTCTGTGTGATAATAGGATCATTTGTATCGTACGTGACGTATTAAAGAAGATTGTAGTAACAATTGGTACTTGGATTCCACTGGATACATTATCGTGGTTGATGGACAGGATTTTATTAGGAATGGAATAGGATTTTATCCGTGGCGAATAAAGACAATTTATTCGAGTAAATTACGAAAATAATAATACGTACGCATATTGGTTTTTTAGTATAATTTTCAACCAAATATAATTTTCAGTTTAAACTTCAGTTAAACAAACTACGTATAGCAATGAAAAGTTTTCACAAAATCGAATAACAAATAAAATATACGTGTGTAATTAAAAAATATGAATACATAGAAAATTAATGCGAATATTAATATCTTAGTTGATAATAGCCGTATCAACTTCGATTATATAAATGCGTGGCTTTCACTTAGCAAGTGAATATAATTTTATATTCATATTATCGTTGTTCATATTAGTCATAGCTGATATTTTCAAAGATGTATGCTTGTATTCTAATATACAATTTGTATTAATTATTTTTACTTAAATGACATGAGTTTTAGTAATAATAATTCTAATAATAAATTTCACTTAGGTTTAATATTATCAATTACTTAACTTAAAATTATTTAATAGAATCAGAACTGATTCAAATATTAATATTATCAGTATAAATTTAGTACAAATTTTAAGAATATTATTTTCTTCTTCTATATAATTAATTAAAATCTCTTCGAGCTACCCAACATGAATTTTTCACTCATCTAAGATACGAGAATTAGAATATGGAAAATCTTGCGCATAACACAATAAAAACATCAAAGTGGAAAAAACATCAGAGTGATATAGTATACGTAACACGATTTACGTATTATCTTCCATTGACGTTTTCTGAACAATAAAAGAGCGAGATATAAAGGACTAACAAAGTTATCCGACACAAAGTTTTCCTGCGTTCGGTATTTAATGGTAAAGAATTCAAGCGTAACGTCGACAAGGGAAACACGAGCTCGGGGGCGTTTCTTTTCCGGCGAGGGAGAGAGTGGCGTGAAAAAGAAGACTTCGCCAATTTTAAGGTACACGGGCGTTGGGAGCTCTTGAAAAATATCCTAATGTAAATTAATGGGCCAGAAGTTTAGCCAGAAGGGCTCTAACGCAAAAGAAACGCAGGTAGGAGAACGTGGCCACCCACCACGTTATACGAGTCAAGAAAAGAACTTTTTCCACTTCCGTGGAAGGTGGGTAAAGGAAAAGAGAGAGTGAACCGGGGGTATACTATAATCCAACGTCTCGAGAAGTTGGTCTAAAGTGCAGAGGTGAGTTCTCCCCGTTTCTTTACAGGAACATTAAACGATCCACTGGATCCTCTTTCTCGATTGTCCTCCACAACGGGATTCAAACTTACGATTGCACGCCCTTTCGCGATGCTTATCAGATTCGACATTCTTTTTTCTTCCCTTCACGGACGAAGTAGATAATACATACGTAAATTTCGAAGTAATATCTAAGTAAATCTGAACTGGAGATATTTGCTATCTCACGAATGTTTTGTTTTATCCTCAACTTTTCTCTCTACAATTTTAGATAAATGGGTATGGATATATATACATCATTAGTAAAAGGTATGCAAATATAGTATCTTAAATAACAAATTAATTAATTGGATACAATCGTAAATAATATTAAATACAAATATATCTATAAAGTCCTGTATCGATATCTGAATATTTCATCAATGATCAATAATGCAAAGATCGCAAATATCAACACTATTGTTAGGAGCTGAACGAAGGGTTACAAGATCCTTCGATCGATGAAACTGTTTGTCCATGTATTGCTTACTAGGCTATATTAATATTCGGCAAGCATCTATTACCGCGAGCGAGAATCGATTGCCGTTCTACGCATTCTAGCGGTGTTTCCAGGTATTAAGTTAGGCGGATCAAACAATACTACGTTACTCAAGTTTAATTATTATTTTTCTTTGAAATATTCATACGTTTTAGTTGATATATGATTTTTATATATTAGAATTAAACATTTACTCATCATAATTCATGTTATTAAAATATTTAACAATAATTTCTTAAACATTTTTTTAATGTTTTCCGATGGATTGATATTTTATAAACAAAATTATGCACGTTCAGGTAAAACTGAATACGAATAGAAAAATATGTATTTGCATAAAAATCAAATGTAACTTTTTATCATTGTGTCGGTCTAATAACAAAGAATAAATCGATTGAAGATGAGATATGAATGAAAATCGAAAAGATGTTTCAGAAATAAATAACTTTAAAAATTCTATACATAATGTAGAATTGTAAATTCCATTGTTATCGAGTTAATTAATATCGATTTAACATTTCTAACATTTTAATTTCGCTATATCTTATATGTGTAAAATATACCAACATTATATTCAAAATAAATGTATCGTTTTTATCCAGTTCAAAATGAAAATGTAACAGATAATGCAACAGTGCTTTGAAATTGATTTACCATGGTTATACAGGAGATAAAGAAGAAATATATGAAAGAACATGAAACATGTAAGCTAGGTAATAAGAGTTCGTAGACGGTAAATCTCTGACTAAGATCTTACATAATCATATACTTTAAAGAAATATATATATATATATATATATATATATAAGAATGGATTTGTAAGAATAATTATAATAAAAAGATAATTTAAGGTTTCATTTGAATAAAATTATGATACGATGATTAATAATATGAATTAATAAAATGTTAATAAAGCTTATTACACGTTATGTACATAAAATTATTTTATCTCGTGAATATGTTTAAACATTTTTAACATATTAACACTCTGACAAACGTACACAGTACGTTATTTTTTTAATATCATATATAATTTAATTAATATTATACAATATTATTAAGAATACTCTATCCTGAAAAAGTAATTAAAAATAAGAGTTTCTATTCTTGCAATTTTGTAAAATTCACATCCATTTCTTTCTTACATCACCAAGTTTCTTCTTCACCCATAAAATTGCAGTTAAAATGATACGAAATATCGCAGGTAAATAAACGTGGAAAATAAAAATTGACCATTGATTATTACATTGGATTAAAACAATTTCAATAAAAAAACTAATAAAGAATAAAGAATCGGAAGTAATTTCGTTTCAAATCCACGAAAAGAAGTAAAATAATATGGCGGTTTCACAGTGAAACCAATGGCCCAGTTAACTCACTTAATATATATATATATATAGCCTTTTTTTCCAATCGTGGGATTCAACGATCGTGGCCATTTTTTCCACCAAAGAAAATCACAGGGCAACGATTCGCGAAGTGCTTTTATCGTCACAGTTTTTACTGCACTTCCCTTCGACGTTGGTAAGCAAGAAAAAAAGGAGGAGGAGGAGGAGGAAGAGGAAAAAGGGGTTTTCGAGTGTTTCGTTCGCGTTTCTGTTTCGCCTCTGAACCGTGTTACATTGCCTACAGAAGCCTCCTCTTTCGAATCCATCGCGTTATGCGCCGTTCCTGGAAACTAGGAAGACCAAGATTCACGAAATATAGCTGATATCGTCTTTTTACGACGAACAGGGGAGCAAGACGTGTACCAGATGCATCCTTGCAATAAAGGTATAAACTCTTTCGTAGAGTTCCATGGAGGGTGAACCCGAGCCGGCGAGATTCGAAGCAGAAGAGAGGAGGAATACCGCGAAAGGGAAATGGATGGATCCTCTGAGCTGTACGAAGGTTCAATTAAAGCCGGTAAAAACGGGGAAAAGAAGAAGAACCTGGTAACCTTCCTGGAAGTAACTAGCGACCCCCAGCTTTACAACCAGTGCGTTGGCTTCGTTTTTAAAGCCAATTGTATTCGTGTTTTGCCAATGTAGACACTTTTGGCCGTGCTCTCGCGTATATACAATAAATAAGGATACATTTTATGAGATTTTTATCTCTGTTGAAGCGTGAAATTTTACGCCCAATCGATCCTTTTTTTAATGGAAATGCTTGGTATCGTGTAAATGATACGACGAGCAAAGCAACTGTTTTAAAATTAAATATATTGATCATCGTTATTAATCTTTATTAACGATCAAAAATTCATTCACCTGATAATAAGATGTAATATGATATAATATAATTTCCATGGATAGGACATTTACAGATTGATTGAAATATTACGCGAAATAATAAAATCCAACGATAATATATTATTTAATTAACAACTGTTCATAACTGTGTCATCGAGCCAAAGCGAAAAGAAAATAAATAAATTTATATCACGTGTATTCAATTGCATAAACCGAGAAAAGAATCGAATAAATAAATAAATAAATATATATAACCAAGTCGACCCGTCGTGTCGCTAATTAATGTAACACACTTATTTTACCAAATATCCAATCAAGTACGGCCGTCCAACCGTGACTCGACTGGCATCGAGCGCGTTAAGGATGTTACCGTTAATGAAACGATTCCAATTTTCCCGAAGACAGGAATGCGATACAAGCACGGCTCGAGTACAGTTGGATCGCGTCCACGTTACACGCAAATCGGGTGTTGTTAGCCGCAAAACAAACTATCAGCTACTTTCACGGGAAACATCTCAGGTAGGACATGAACGTTATATATGCGTTGCTCTGAGCAAAGTTTACACATACTTGGACGTGCAAAGGGGAGACAGGGGACAGGCGGTTTCCATGCTGTTCTCATCGTTTTTCACTGCCACTTCGTTAGTGTACACGGACACGGGGCACGGGAGTGTTTCCGCGAAGCGGAATTCCGCCGCCTAACGTCCACGGCCATAATTACAACACCGATGTTTTCGTTTTGATTGGCCAAGCTTCTCCTCGTGTCACTTGACTCGTGCGAATCGTCGTATCGAATCGTATTCTCTCTCTCTCGAAAAGGAAAGAAGACGCGACCAAAGAGATATCGGTTTTATCGGTTTTATCCTCGAGGATTATAACAT